AGGTTTCCAAACTTGTTCATATAATTGTTCATTAATTTTGAGTAGTAGATTGATTATAGTGTTAGAAGCTGTTTTGTTGGAGATGTTGTAGTATTGAAGGGTTTGAATCAGTGATTGAGGAATTAAACCTTTGAGTGTAAGCTCTATGTAATATGAGTAGGATTGAAGAGCTATGTTATAGAATGCCTCATATCTATAAATTTTTTGGATTAGGTCATCCAATTCATTATTGCTTATATCAAGTTCAATTGATTGAAAATGTTTAGTGATAGTAGATAAAAGTATTTGTTAAAGTGCAGTAGGGTCAACACAGGTACGCCAGTGTAACGGAGAATCAGGTAGATTACAATGAAAACAGTTGTTACTATAGAAGATCTTGGGATATAGTGTATGGTGGAAGCTCTGTTTTAATTTTCATTTTAATTTTTTTAAGAAAAATTACTAAATATATAACTAAAAATATAATCTAATCATAAAATATAATGATAAAACGAGAGAAATTCTAAAAATCGATCTATGTGAGAAGAATTCTAAAAAACTCAATCTTTGTGAGAAGAATTCTAAAAAACTTGATCTATGTGAGAGGAATTCTAAAAAACTCGATCTATGTGAGAGAAATTCTAAAAAACTCGATCTATGTGAGAGAAATTATAAAAAACTCAATCTATATAAGAGAAATTCTAAAAAACTTGATTTATGTGAGGAGAATTCTAAAAAATTCATATTTATGTGAGAGGAATTCTAAAAAACTCAATCTATATGAGAGAAATTCTAAAAAACTTGATCTATGTGAGAGAAATTTTAAAAAACTCGATCTATATGAGAGAAATTCTAAAAAACTTGATCTATGTGAGAGAAATTCTAAAAAACTCGATTCTATATCAGAGAATCTTTCTTAGCTGATATCTATTTTGGAGAATCTTTCTCAACTAGAGTCTATATTAGAGAATCTTTCTTAGCTGACATCTATATTGGAAAATCTTTCCTAGCTGATATCTATGAATAGTAGAATTAAATCAATTCTGCTAAATTTTTTATTCATAGTAAGAATTCAATTGATTTTTTATTCATAAGATTATATATCACATGAACTTATTGTTTAAAAAATACACTTTAAAAATCTTTAAAAAAATTGATTAATTACATCATTTATTTCTTTAAATAATAAAAAAACTTTATGTTGTATAGCAAGCATAAGCACATATCATGATCTGTAGCTAATTCGCAAGCATGATGCAGCTTGTTTTCCTCAAAAATTCAATAAGAGAAGTGGTGGGTCCACAGGTAGATGGCTTCAGTGGCCGACTAGAAGCCATATACTTATGATGAATAGTTGTTGTCAATGGCCAACTATATAACAAACATGAATCTTATGATTACAACGTATCGTGACTTTGTCTAATGCAATCACACCCAAGTTCTCCAAAGTCGTAATTGCATATTTCCAAATTAATCAAATAAATAAAAATGTAGTTTTCTTATAAATATTTGAAATTATTTTAGCACAACTTCTAAGAATTGTATAAAAGAATTTTATTGAATTAAAAATTCAGCTATCTCATCTATAATAAACATTTTATTATGAATTACTTTCAATGTTTCGTGTGTTCTAATACTATAAGAATTATCGAATATCTCTTTATCGATAAGTAATATTTTCCAAAATCTATAATGTGAAAGTTTTTTTGATAATACAAGTATTTGCTTATAAATATCCAAGATATTGTTACATCTTTCCTCGTGTCTAATAAAAAAATGATAAAATATATTTTCATATCTATAAATTCTAATAGCTTCAAAGCCCAGATAATAAATTAAAATTTTTGAAATTATTTCATTATTAAATATTAAAATAAAACCTGGCTTATTTTTTATCTTAATTGATTTACATATTTCAAATAATTCAAAATTAGAATCAATTTTATCAAAATAAAAATTATTAGAAAAATAACTCATTAATTTATCAAAATCAAAAAATGTTTTTT